GAGAATGGAGACATTCTACAAATCTGAAGGCTGCAACAAGTTGTAGCTATTCTTTGCAGATATTCCTGTGCTATGTTGCCCAGAACCTGGATACAGCCAAGAGATAACATTACAGATAAGTAGAAACAGGTCAGATGTTATCTGCAATCGCTTTAGAAACTTTTGAGAACAGGTACATTGCTGTTCAAATGTTTAAATGTTGCCTAAACTTCCCAAAATGAATTCCAACATGGCAACATGCCCCTGGAGATTGAGTACTTAAAACATCCCATTTAAGCCATACCTGGCGACAGGGACACTTGCACAACTCCTGGAACCAGACACAACACAAGCAGAGGCCAACCCACGGTTCTGGCTCTTCAGGCCAGTGGGTGTATGGAGGCTAACTTCTGACTTTAGAAGTTGCCAGGAGATAAATGGTGTTTTTCACTAAAGGGACAAGAATGTGAGCTATGTGGCCGGCTAGGCCAGCTCACTTTTCTTCTGATCTCCCTTCTCATTCGGTGTTGAGAAACCGGACAGCAAAGGGCCTGCTGATTGGCAGCAGTGACCGAGGGGAACATGGGTCAGAGGAGGACGGGCAGGTCTGCGGTCTAGTGCCCACCTTTCAGAAAGAAATACCTCAGACACCTCCTGTATTGTATTGTATTTACTTAGTATTACTGTTAATTTTAAGTAGGCTCCACGCCCAACACGGGGCTCGAACTCACCACCCTAAGATCAAGAGTCACATGCTCTATCCTGGACTGAGCCCGCCAGGTGCTTCGGGATACCTCCTGTGTTTTAAAGTGAACTATAAAGATGCCTTTGATTCCGTGGAGTTTTTGAAATGCTGATGGGTAATGGGGGTGGGCTAGGGGCTGGCAGTCCCGTTTGAGATTGCCAAGGCAGCTGCTTGGAATTCTCCCTTCACATGCCAAGCAGCGGCACATCCTTGGTGTTCTACATTGGGGAGATATGTGGTTGAGAATATGCATGAGAACGTTGTGAGTGTGTGTGCATGTGCATGTGCACGTGCACGAGGGGCCATGGGGGAAGAGGTGCACTTGTACATCTGCATGAGGAAGAAAAACAATTGGGGGAAAGGGAATTGGAGAAAGAAATATATAAAGACCTTTAAAGAGAAAACTGTTCTCATCCTAATCACCTGGGCCAACCTCTGTCTTATTTGGGAAGCCTTTTTGACGTTACCATGAAAGACAGTCATCAGGTGATCACTGAGCACCAAATGATTCTAGTCTTGTACCAGACACAGCAATCTCTCTTCTCGAGCTCCTGAATTACCAGAATATTCTTGTCTAACAGCAAAGGGATAACAAAAATTGTGAGCCTCCCTGAATGTTTTCTGTTTCTGTTTTCTTCCCACATGCCCATGTGATGTCAACTCTGAGGCTCTTCCCTGGCCCCTTTCCAGCTGGGGGCCACTTAGCACAGGTGAATGGGAGCAGTGGGAGCAGAGCAGGTGCCGGAGGGCTGGGGAAGAGCAGCTTCTGGGAGCTCTTCTGGTCTGCATCCCCGGAGAACCGAAAGTCACAATAGGAAATACACAGGTTGATGGGGAGGGGGATGACGGGGAAGGTCCATGTGCTGACATCCAGGATGGGGGCCACTGAGGATGGTCCGATGAAGGCCAGGCAGTGGTGCAGGGCAGTGCCCCTGCACAGGGCTGGGTGGGTGACCGACATCATGGGGTAGCCTCGGGAGAGTCTGTGTAGAGTCCCCAGGTCAGGGCGTTGAAATGAGGGAAACTGGTAAGAGTAGAGGATTCTTCCTGGAAGAAATAAATGTTCCAGCATGGAGTCTGCCAGTAGCTGCTGTTCCGTGCATGACAGGTGGGATGGCCCTCAGTGCTGACCTACATGCTGACAACGCTGATCCTCTTAACGGGGTAAAGCAGCAGGTATACAGGGAAATGTGGAAGGCCCCCAGGGCTCCTGCAGGTGGAGTGGGTTCACCACCTCCCCTCGGCTGGAAGGGCATGTCCTGGAACAGCACAGCAAGTGGCCAAGGACACCTTCAGTCACGGACTGATCTGTCCACGCACCAGAGGTCAGTTTTTTGTCCTATTCATGTTTGAATCCAATGACGCCTCAAAAAACTGATGGTTGGAGTTGGTGGCACAGGATGCAAGGCCTGTTACGAGAAAAGGAAGTAGGACGCAGGACCAGTCAGTAGGTCCCTGAGCCTGTAAACCCAGCTGAGAGCTGTGAGTTGGATCTTGGACAGCAGAGCCAGAATTTCTGGCAAATCATCCAGACGCCGCTTCAGGTCTCCCCACTGCTTTCTGGAAGCTGGTTCCCGCTTCAGCAGTTAGTTCTTTTTCCTTTGGCTTTGCGGACAGAGGCAGACTGGTGGGTGGAGGAGGTCTCACGTCCTAGATGTCTGCTATGGCCTGACCCAAAGGTGTTTTTTCCAGGAAAGAAAATGGCGCTGGTCTCACTTCCGTTTACTTGCTGGTTGCGGCTTCTGTCCAGTTGCGTGACATGCAGGCACTGGAGGAAGGTTAGGAGCTGAAATGTCCCCCACGGCTTATGGACAGTCCTGAAAAGATGCATCCGTGTGAGGGGATTCCTGCAGTGCCCCTTTTTCTGGAAGCCATACACATCTTCCGACCAGCCTGTCGGAGGGCACGAGGAGAGAGTGTGCGGGTGCCCAATTCTGGCTGCTCCCTGGGGTCCCCGTGTCCTCTCTCCTCATGGTTGCTGGGCACTGCCATCTTCCTTTTCCTGATTCACTTCCATGGTTAGTCCTCTGTGCCTGGGAAGGGCACACCACGTAGGGAAACAGCATGAGCCGTGGTCCGAAGGCAGGCAGCGTCCTGGCGTCTTTGGCAACCTTTTCGCAGACCATCTCTGGGCCCTGTTTTACTCATAACCAGGAAGGAGGCCCCCTTCATAGTGTTATTTTCGCGTGCACAGCTGGGGCTGACCCAAGTCCCTGCTCATCCTCACCGAAGCCGGCTTAGTGCTTCAAAGAGGACGGTTAGAGATGACGGCTGATGCCACTGACGTGTTCCTGGAACAAGCATTGAGGACCTCTGGGATCTGCATAGCCGCCCAGTGTTACCACGTAGACCAAGGAGTCTCATTGACTGGCAAAGTCAAGGGACAGGATTACACAGGGGGCAATGGGGTTTAGTGACTGAGCAGAGGGTATACCATTAAAACATTTTTTCCCCTTATGATGAGTTATAAATTTTTGTTGTGGATAATTTTTATTGCGGAGGAAAATATCAAATAGCACAAGAACAAAAAAAGGATTCTGGGGGCGCCTGAGTGGGCTCAGTCTGTTAAGCATCTGCCTTTAGCTCAGGTCATGATCCCAGGGTCCTGGGATTGGAGCCCTGCATTGGGCTCCCCACTGAGTGCCCAATCCCCCTTGTGCTCTCTTTTTCTCTCTCCCTCAGATAAATAAATAAATAAATCTTCAAAAAAAAAAAAAAAAAAAGATTCTGGAAGCCTCCCCTCCCCCCAGAAGTAATAGGATCTGTTTGACTGTTTGACATGAAATTTTTGAAAATGATTTTACTTATATGAAAGAGAGCAAGCACACAAGTGGGGGGGTGTAGTGAGGAAGGATATGGGGAGATGGAGAAGCATACTCCCCACTGAGCAGGGAGCCTGATATGGGGCTGGATCCCAGGACCCCAAGATCATGACCTGAGCCTTAGACGACAGATGCTTAACTGACTGAGCCACCCAGGCGCCCCCCAACATGAAATTCTTAAATAAGTTCTTTTTCCAGTTATCATTGCTGCGTAACAAACCACCCTAACTCTTAGTGGTGTCAATCACCCATTTTCTTATGCTCACGGATTCTGTGGGTCAGGAATTCAGGCTGGGCACAGCCATGGTGGTGTCTCTGCTCCATGGTGTCTGGGGCTTTGGCTAGGAAGACTGAAATGCTGGGGATGACTTGACTGCTGAGGGTTGGAATCATCTGGAAGTGTCTTCACTCACACATCCAGTGGATGATTCTAGATGATGGCTAGAACCTCCCACTGGCTGTTAGCTGGAATAAATACAGATGATCTTTGATTATAGACTAGCTTGGGCTTCCTCACAATGAGAAAGCTGGATTTCTAGAGAGAGTATCCCAAGAGATAGGAAGTAGAAGCTTGCCAGTGTCTTCAGAGACTGGACATGGTCATAGTGTCATTTTTGCTGTATTCTGTTAGTCAAGGACTAACAGGACCCAGGTTTGACATTGACCCTACATTTTGATTGGAAGAATGGGAGAGAATTTGGGAGCTCCGTTTTAAAACCTCCACAGTTCTCCAGATGGCGTGTAGCTCAGTGATAAAGAGGTGAGGGTCTGGGTTCTTACTGGCTGTGTGATCTTAGGCAGGTTCATTGTGGTAGAAACTATTGTTCACTAGTATCTGTTTCTTTTCTTCTCTTCCTGGGAGCACAGATAGGCTATTCCCCAGCCTCTTGCCTCTAGGAGGGCCTGAGAAATTAGTTTTAGCTGGTGGACTGTGAGCAGAAGTGTCAAGTGTCACTGTGAGTTGAGGGGAGGAAGAGCCACGGGTTTTCTTGCTCTCTCCTTCTTGCTTGCTATCTAATTGCCAGGGATTAAGTGGCAGCTCAGTGTAGGAGGTGGGGGAGTCACAATATGGAAGGAGCCTGGGTCCCTGAATGATGGCTGGCTAAGTCCTTTGTTTCATGCCCTCTGCCCGCAGGGATGTGGGGGAGACCTAGACTTTAACTATGTTAAGTCACTGAGGCTTTGGGTTTTTTTTGTGATAGCGGTTAGCCTACCCTGACCAATGCATTACCCGACCTCTCTGAACCTGTTTCCTCGCTTGTAAAGTGGGGGGTATTAGCTGTAGCTATCTTTGGGTGCCCTGCAAATGAAGTGAAACAATTTATTGTATGGTGCGTGGCCCATAGTCAGTGCTCAGTGGAAGTTAGCTACAGTTACTGAGTGTGAGTGCCAGTTAGAAGAGGGGCAGGTTTGTGTGTGCAAGGATGGGAGTCTAGCAGGAGTGGAACAGTAGGATGGCCCCCATTGCCGCCATCATCATCATCAACATCATCATCATCATCATCAAGATGGCACCCACCATTTACTGAACACCGGCTCGGGCCACGCTCTATCCTAGGGCTGCTTCACCTGGATTCATATCAGTCCCCTGAGGCAGATTTTATTTGTCTTGATGTGGAGATGAGGATCCCAGGGCCCAGGGGTGCTGTTGAAGCTGTTTGAAGTCATGGGCAGGCTTTTAAACTCAGGGCTCCCTGACCTCAAAGCCTGACTTGTTTTACTGCAGGGATGACACCTCGTGCATTTTTGGGAAATGTGACATGTATTTAAAGGAAAAAAAAAATGAGGCCTCCACCTGGCTTCCATCTCACCGGGGAAGTGGTGTGTTTTCCTTTTGAGATTTTCTCTACTTCAAGTCGCAGGGATTTGCTTTTGTCAATTAATCTTTGGCAGAAAGCTTGCCTGCAAATGTGGACGGCCCCTGCATCCTTCCCTTCCCAGGGTCCTTTTGCTGTTCTGTTCTGTTTGAACTCTGTAGGCTCTCTGTGGATTCAGTCAGTGGAGAAGGGACCTGGATCTCCAGAACAAAGCCCCCTTCTGAGTCCCGAAAGTCTCTCTTCGGCTTGAGGCCTCCTGTGCGGAGAGTGGATGTTTTAAAGCCCTCTCAGTGGCATTGATAACCCAAGGTGGGATTATAACACCAAAGTGGCTTGCTTGCTTGCTTTTTTCTCTGTGTCACTTGCTGAAAGCAACTTGCATTTCCACAGGAATAAGAAAGGCTTGGTGAAGCTTTGTGCCGGTGCTTAAAATCCTGGTACTTGATTCGTTCCATGAACCAGCGACTCATGCCTCTGCGCAGTTGCGTGTAACTGGCTCCCTCTCCCTCCTCTTTGAGACACTCGTTTGCTTTAGCAACATACCCCACTGCACAGACTAGTAGGTCGGAAGGTGTGGATTCTGTCGTTGGCTTTCTGGGGGTGCCCCTGGACCACATTTGCGTTTTCATTAGGAGGACAGTTCTAATTGCTACGGTGAGGCTGCACCCACTGGCAGTGTGCTGAGCCCAGACAGGCAAAGAGAAGGGCTTATGACATATTTTACTCACGCTGCTGCTTTTCTGGCTCGGGTAGAACTTCCAACACAAACCGCTTCTTTCTTCATTTTTATCCCACAGGGAGTTTTTCTATTGAAAGCAATACGAAGGACAAAGGGGATAAAGTCAAATTCTACCCTTCAGATTATCTTTGAAATATCTATGAATATGCTGGGGGTGGGTGGGAACCTTGGCCACTTGGTGCTAGAACAATGGGTAAAGTTGATTTTCTTCTAGAATGTTGTTATGTTGTTGGGAAATATCATAGACTATTACAGAAATTCTGCTGCAATAAAACTTTGAGAACTATTTTGTTCTTTAAAAATGCTGCTACTGGGATGCCCAGGTGGCTTAGTCAGTTAAGCATCTGCCTTTGGCTCAGGTCCTGATCCCAGGGTCCTGGGATCGAACCCCGCATTTGGCTCCCTGCTCAGCAGAGAGCCTGCTTCCCCCTCTACCTCTGCCTGCTGTTCTGCTTACTTGTGCTCTCTCTCTCTCTCTCAATCTGTCAAATAAATAAATATAATTAAAAAAAACGCTGCTACTGAAACAAGTCAATCAGAGAAAGACAATTGTCATACGATCTCGCTGATATGTGGAATTAGGGAAATAAGGCAGAGGATCATGGGGGAAGAGAGGAAAAAAAATGAAACAAGACAAAACCAGAGAGGGAGACAAAGCATAAGAGACTCTTAATCTCAGGAAACAAACTGAGGGTTGCTGGAGGGGACGTGGGGTGGGAGGGATGGGGTGGCTGGGTGATGGACACTGGGGAGGGTATGTGTTATAGTGAGTGCTGTGAATTGTGTAAGACTGATGCATCACAGACCTGTACCCCTGAAACAAATGATACATTATATGTTAATAAAAAATAAAAAATAAAAAAATAAAACCCTTTGTGGCTATTTAAGAAGTCACACAAGATGGCGCCAGAGAGCCAGAGAGGAGATGGGTTTGTGTCCAGGGCCGAGAAAGGCCTGAGTGAAAGGGGCAGTCAGTGGTGACCGAGACTATTTCTCAGAGATGGCATCTGTCGCCGCTGCACATCCTCACGGCCCGATCCGTTGTCACAAAGCCTTTTCACGAGCTTTTTGGCCCAGGTACCACCTTCTGGCTGAAATGTATGGAAGAGGCAGGTTGGCCTTGAGCGGTGGAGGGAGAAAAACGGAAAAGGCAGAAGGAGCAGAGCTGCTTCCTCTGGCTCTGGGGTGAGCTCGTGCCCAGCAGTGCCTCTGGGATGCATGGCCACTGCCAGAGAGGGAGAGCACAAACAGGCACAAGGGAAGGCGGACAGAAAGGCAGCTTCTCCTCTCTGGGCCACCCACAATTTTGAAGAAACTGTGGCCAGGGGTCGGGGTTGGGGCCCTGTGGCAAAACAGGGCGCCTGGCTGGCTCGGTCAGTGGACCAGGCAACTCTTGGTCTCAGGTTCATGAGTTCGAGCCCCACGGTGGGTGTAGAGATTGCTCAAAAGAAGAATAAAAAACTTAAAAAAAAAAAAAAGAAATTGTGGCAAAATATACATAACATGACAGTCAGCATTTTAACTTTTTTTTTTTTTTTTTTGACTTTTCCATTTTGGTCGAATACATAACATATCACTTACCATCCTCACTGTTTGAAGGGTACAGTTCTGTGAGATTAGCTGCGTGGACATTGCTGTGGGGCCAGCACCACCGTCCACTTCCGAGCCTTTTTGTCTCGCAGAACTGAAATTCTGCACCCATGTGACACGAACTCCCCCCTCCCTCAGCCCTGGCAGCTGCCTGTCTACCTTCTGTCTCCGTGAGCTTGCCTGCTTGGGTGTACCCAGATGTCTTTGAGTCTCTGCTTTCCATTCTTTGGGGTAGATGCCCGGAAGTGACGTTGCTGGATCAAACGGTAGTGCTGTGTTTGCTTTTCTGAGTCGCTGCCTTAAGGTTCACCACAAGGGTTCCCAATTCTCCACATCCTCACAACACCTGTCAATTTCTCTTCTTATTTTTTTTTATCTTTGATGATAGCCATTCTAATGGGTATGAAGTGGTTTTGATTAGCATTTCTGAATTAGAATTAGAAATTCCAAAATGAATTAGAAATTCGTTTTAATTCATTATGTGTTTGAGCCACAGACTTGCTGCAGTCCACAGCTTGTGTGGTGTGGTGTGGCGTGGTGGGTGAGGGCATGGATCTGGTGTGGGACAGCCTGACGGAGAGTCTCCGCTTTCCCCTACAGGCTGTGTGATGCTGGTGAGTCACAGCCGCGCTGAGCCCCAGTGTCTTTACCTGCTGGCTGGAGTTCATCATAACTGCTTCCGCAGAGGCTGGCTGGAGGAATACAGCAGGTGAGACGGGAAAAGCTCTTGGTATGCAGGAAGTGCTCAGAAACGGTAGCCGTGTATACAGAAGCCCAGTGCATGAAGCAGCCAACCAGGGCTGATGTAGCTTTCCAGTCCCTCTCCTTAACACCTGCTCTTCCCAACATAGCTGACATCCCGCCCCCATGTGCCACATCTCTAGCAGAGAGGAGCCCACTTTGAACCCTTTGCCGAGTAGTTCCCAGGGTCCCTCTCTGTGCTGGAGCTCACTGAGCCGCTTCCCAAGTCTTGGTTAGAAAAAATAATGTCACTAGCATCACTGTTGGCCCTTGGGAGCCAGGGGCCTCGCCCTGCAGGCTCAGTTAGGAACAGAGCAGGACACCTGGGTGGGCTCTCAGCTCCCATCCGCCCAGCTAGCTTCTTCTGGGAGTGACTCTGCCGGGGGGGGGGGGGGGGGGGGGGGGTAGGAAGGTCTCCTCCCTCTGCGAATTCGAGCCAGTGGGCTTCATGCAAAGGCAACATGTCGTCATTACTGAGAACATGGAAGGATGTTTGGAGGAAAGGGGATGTCTTGTACTTCATTAAACGTGTCCGCCCTTTGCAATGTGAACAGAGCAAGAAGTATTTTGCAGTAGAGCAAAGGTTCTCCAATAAGTCAGGAAGCTTGGGAGAAGAGAGAGAGAGGCTGGGGCAGGACAGGGTCTCCTTTTTTTTTTTTTTTTTAAAAAGATTTTATTTATTTATTTGACAGACAGAGATCACAAGTAGGCAGAGAGGCAGGCAGAGAGAGAGAGGGGGAAGCAGGCTCCCCGCTGAGCAGAGAGCCCGACGCGGGGCTCGATCCCAGGACCCTGGGATCATGACCTGAGCCGAAAGCAGAGGCTTTAATCCACTGAGCCACCCAGACGCCCCCAGGGATTTCCTTTTTTTCCAAGGAGCCGGTGGCAACTTTGCAGGATGACTGGGTTTTGGCTCCCCACCAGGAGTTTCTGTTTGGGCGCAGGAACCAGCCTTACAGAAGAGATGGTGTCTGAACAGGTCAGCTGTGAGGCTGCGGAAACAGGCGGGCTCACTGAGGAGGCTTGAGCTGGGGCGGCCAAGCGATGGGGTAGCAGCAGAGAGGCGAAGGGGAAGGCTGGCTCAGAAGGAAGGGCAAAGCCCAGGCCTGAGCTGGTGAGATTTCCAGAGCAAACCAGAAGTGCCCGAGGTGGTGACACGGCAGAGAAATTCTTCTTCGGGCAAGAGTTGCAGCAGAAAGTTCCTCAGTTATCTGCTGAGGAGTGGGCCTTGGGAGACCCTTTCTGGCATGCAACAGCTATTTACAGAGCACAGCTTTTGGTCCTAAAACGCCCAGTAGTGAGGCAGTCAACCTAGGCTCAAGTCGGGGTCACGGGGACTCATGCCAGGCTGGTCAGGGAGTACAGCCTGGAGGAGGTGATGTGGGAGCTGGGTCTTCAGGGATGCATAGAAGGTGAGATAAGCCATGGAGCGAGGGGCAGAGGTAGGACAGAGGGCGGCTGGGTTTGTAGGTCTAGGCAGAGGAAATAGCATGTGTAAAGCTCTAACAGTGAGCCGTGGTGTGGGAGAACCTCTAATGGTGAGCCGTGCCTGCAGCAGGTTTCCTATGGTGGTTGTGTAGGTCTAGGTTGAAGTTCAAGAAGGAAGCAGGGCCGGGTTGTGCTA